CAATTTCCTCCACTGCCGCTTCCCCATCTTGCCCTCCTCCTGCCCAGACTCGGTGAGGCAGTGGCCCTCTTCTGGCCCTTGCTCAAAGCTGACCAAGAGAGCAGGGATTGGGGGCTCAAAGCCGGTGGTTCCCAAACCTGCCTTCGCTTTGGGAATCACTGAGGAATTACAGGCTCCTAGGCAGCGTCTCTGCAGGCAGGCTCCGGAATTGGTATGAATCACCACCTCTAGGAGGGCAAGGTGTCTTCCTGGTTGTTGGGCTTGGCTTTATTGGGCAGGACTGGGCCATGGAAGGGTACTCAGTGTTCCCTGCAGCAGGAGGTTGCCTGGCATGCTGCTTCTATGAGGACTCACATGCAGCCTTTTTTTTTTTTTTGAGACAGAGTCTCTCTCTGCTGCCCAGGCTGGAGTCCAGTGGCACAATCTCAGCTCACTGCAACCTCCGACTCCCAGGTTCAAGAGATTCTCCTGCCTCAGCCTCCCAAGTAGCTGAGATTACAGGCGCCCGCCACCACACCCAGCTAATTTTTGTATTTTAGTAGAGACGGGTTTCACCATGTTGGTCAGACTGGTCTTTAACTCCTCACCTCAAGTGATCCGTCCACCTCGGCCTCCCAAAGTGCTGGGATTACAGGCGTGAGCCACTGCCCCTGGCCGCAGGCTTTTAAAACTTCTTCCTGTTTTTGCTCAATGCCTTGCCATCTGGGCTCCTTTCTGACCCAGTCTTCCCTTGGGCAAGGGGACTTCCCAGACTCCAGACCATCCACTCACTGAAGACACGATCATCTCCCTCCCACTCTCTGCTGGCTCCATCCTGGCCTTCTCCCCCTCCTACCCCTTCAAAGGAAGACCTTCCCCCAGGAAAATGTGTTGTCTCTTTTCATTTTCCATCTCTACTTCCCTTCCCTCCGCCCTAGATCCTGACAATGCCTCGGGTTCACACGCAAGCCATTTCTGGGGGACACCAGTTTGCCTGGCGGCATCCCCCCAGTGCTTGTCTGGGCAGTGACCTCACCAGCCTTGAGGTCCTTCCTGCCCTGCCCTGCAGGATGGGTACTGGTGGCTTTCAAGGACCAAAGATAGTTGAGAAGCCGTAGTTCTCACCCCACACTTCCCCATCGGGTGGCATGCTACACAGAAATCAACCCTCAGGGCCAACGCTACCCTACTGGAAACATCTGTTAGCACAAAGCACAGAAACAGACACCCAGCCTCTGCCCACGGGCTCAGGGAAGTCCCACTCTGTCCTGTCACAACTACTTTTTTTTTTTTTAGCGGGAGTTTCGCTCTTGTTGTCCAGGCTGGAGTGCAGTGGCACGATCTCAGCTTACTGCAACCTCCACCTCCCGGGTTCAAGCGATTCTCCTGCCTCAGTCTCCCAAGTAGCTGGGATTACAGGCATGCGCCACCTTTCCCGGCTAATTTTGTATTTTTAGTAGAGACAGGGTTTCACCATGTTGGTCAGGCTGGTCTCAAACCCCCGACCTCAGGTGATCCTCCCACCTGGGCCTCCCGAAGTGCTGGATTACAGGCGTGAGCCACCGCGCCCGGCACAACGGCTTTTCTCAGGAATTCAAAGACATGCTCATCAGTGACTAGCTAACCTCCAGTCAGAGCACTACCTGTGGGGGTCCAGAACCACTCAGAGAAACTTCCAGGCCCAGGGGACTGCCCTGCTGGTGGCTGGGCTCATCCAGGCCCAGGCAGAGGGGACTTGTGGCACTTCTTCCCAGGCACACATCTTCAGCAACACTTTTTTTACTACAGAACAATGATTTCTGACCCTCTCGTGCTAATGTATAGACCCTCTGCTATGACAGTAGACAACCACATTTGAAGTGCTGGCTGTGGCTGCCCCGGCGTGTAGACTGCTGCTCAGGGTCTTTCAAAAACACGGACTAAAATTAATTCACATGCTCACAAAATCACACAGCAGCACTGAGGCGATTACAGCCAGTGCAGCTACCTACCCAGGGCCGCTGCTGGGCTCCAGGCTCTCGCCTCACAAGGGCCACCTCTCTGCAAGGCACACAGGACACATCACTTGGGGGTCCCTCTGGCCCAAGTTGACCCCCACCTTGTCCAGTCAAGCACCGACCCAGTGTATCTTCTGACCAGTCAGATAGATACTCCCAGCCCTGGGTCTCTGTAGTCCTTGCCTCTGGGCAAAGCCCTGTGCTTGGGTCGGTCCCAGCAGGGTCGGATTCCAACCAATTCTGTGAAGGGGTGGGGTATAAAAGAAAGTGGAGCAGCCAGGCCGGTGGCCCACACCTGTAATCCCAACATTTTGGGAGGCCGAGGCGGGCGGATCACGAGGTCAGGAGTTCGAGACCAGCCTGACCAACATGGTGAAACCCTGTCTCTACTAAAAACACAAAAATTAGCTGGGTATGGTGGCGTGCACCTGTAATCCCAGCTACTTGGGAGGCTGAGGCAGGAGAATCAGTTGAACCTGGGAGTCAGAGGTTGCAGTGAGCCGAGATAGTGCCATTGCACTCCAGCCTGGGCAACAAGAGCAAAAGTCTGTCTCAGAAAAAAAAAAAAGTGGAGGTGGCGATGGGCTGAGGTGCCAAAAGATGGAAAAGGGGCATTTCTCGGGGTCCTCCAAGGGAGCAACCTGAGGTGCACAGAGTGGCCTTGTGACAAGGACACAGAACCCACCTCCATCTTGGCCTGGGATTTCCTGCGGCCTATGCAGCCAGCTCATCCACCTGTCGCCCACCCTCTTCTGGGATCCGCCGTTCTGGAACTTCCCTCTACCTCTCGGCTCTGCCTTCAGCCAGGGTAGGGGGCAGTGGGAGGGCAGATCCCATCACAGACTGGCCTGCCTTCCTCAGGGGCCTCACTCAAATCCACAGGGATCTGCTGGGGCTGTGCCCTCTGGCCGGGGCAGGTGGAACTGGCCGGCGTGGCGGTGGGGAGACCACCGTGCTTCCTGTAAGGACTGGCCCAGCTGGCCCACAGGGGAACGCATTGGAGTAACAGGAGCCTGGCCTGGCTCCCACACTCCCCGCCCCCACTCCACCATCAGGGACTCGCATGTAATTGTCATTCATTTCCCCTCTCTGAGTTCAGCCTAGGCACAGATCAAATGATTCCATGATGACAAACCGCCTGTCTCAGTTGACCAGATTCCACCGGTGAACGCTCGGCTGACCTTGGGCAGCTCCCTCTGTTCCCACCTCCTTGTGCTTCTGGGGCCTTGTGGAGTAGGCTGGACATCAGTGATAACACTAACTGTAGCCAGCCTGTCACCAAGCTTGTCACGTAGAGGACGCCTATGTCTGCTTCATTGGCGTCATCTCACAAGGCCCTGAGCTGGCAGGAAATTGAGGTCTCAAGGGGATAAGCCACCTGCCCCCAGTGACAGCAAGGAAGTACAAGACTCTGACCCAACCCCCATGCCTACTATCCCCAAACATAGGCTCAAAACCCCTTCCCAGGGACAGCTGTGTCCACCCCTCAGCAGGAGGAGTCCCCACAGCACCAGGTGAGAGAGAGGTCAGTGCTGAGGCCGAGCAGGTGGCTCTCAGCAGAGCCCCTGTGTGGAGCCAGGGAAGCCAGGCCACACTTGCGGGGTGAAGTGGGGAACCCGGAAGCCTGGGCAGTGCAGCAAAGCGCTTGGTACCCCATCCTTAACATTCAAGGGCACCTTGAAGGGGGAGGAAAAACTTAAGACACGATAGAATGTTCTGGAATGTTGTAAGTGCCAATTAGGGAATGTGAAGGGCCTTTCAGGCAGAATTCCAGAGGAATGCTGGGGCCGGTGCCCTTTGTAATGGCCCTCCAAAAGTCCCAGAGCAGGAGTGGGCTGCACAGAGAACACGGAGGGGGCCTTCTTGGTCCAGCCAGGTGACTTCCAGAATCCTCCAGCAGGGAGAACCATCGCTGGTCCTGCTGTTATTGAGGTTGTTCTCGTCTTGTTCTGTGTTGAGGATCGGTGCTTAGCACCAGCAGGATCTCCAAAATGCCCACAGAATTGAAATGGAAATTCTTTGTGGTCCAATCCTAACAGCTGACGTCTACTGGGCAGCTACAATATGCCAAGCCTGGTTCTGGGCCCATGCATGACTGGTTCACTGAATCCTAGAGGCAAGCACCATTATTCTCACCTTACAGGGAAGGAAATGGGGCTGCAGAGGGGAACTCCCAGCCAGCTAGGAGAGCAGCAAGCCGAGTTAGTAAGCACGTCCAGGAGGCCTGCCTGGCCTGAAGGCTGGCGTTGAGCCCTTCCTCAACCTCCCTCCTCCTCCCCAACCCCCCCATAGCAGTGACAAGGAGCTACTTCCTATCCAGCACACAGGGAGGCTAGGAGTCCCCAGCTGGATCCTAAGCCCTCAAGGCCAGGGTGAGGCGTCTTAACCTTCTAGGCCTGGTGTGCACAAGCAGACTAATAAAGGCCGGAGGACAAAAAGGGTTTTGAGTGATAGGTGAAAAAAGAAAGGAGATAGGGCTAAGGCAACAGGCCTTCCCTTGGTGGTGGGGAGCCCTCAGAGGTGGGAGGGACCCCAGAGGTGGAGAAGGGGACACGGGGGAGCGGGGAGGACAGAGAAGGCTTCCAGAGCCACAGGCGCTAGAGTCCGGCCTTCTCCCCTAGCGGCTGGCTCTGCTCCCGATCCTGGGTAGCCCAACAGCTGGGCAAGGGGTCTGCCTGGGCCCGGGAAAGGTGCGGGGGCAGAAGGTAGCAGAGGGAGAAAAGGACCCCCTGCCTGCCTCTGACCCAAAGACAAGTCTGAATGGGACCAGAGGGAAATGGCTGGGCCTTGGGGCGCCCCAAGGTCTTGGAGGGGACCAGGGTGTTCAGGTTTCCCACAAGTCCAGGAGCGGCCGGCGACTCCCCCAGGAGGCTCCGCCAGGGACAGGCATCCCGGGGGGAGAAGATGACCCCCGTGGGCTCCCAAGCCCCGCCTCGGCTTGGCGCGCTTGGGGAGCCTGGGGGCCTGTCTCGGAGGAACGCGGACAGGCGGCGGCGGGGCGGGCTCGGAGCGCCGAAGGGGTTAAGGCACCTGGGCCGCCGCCCCTGTCGGCCCCTCCTCCCGCGGCCGGGAAAAGGAAAGTCGCGGCGGGGGCGCTGCCCGGCCTCCGTCCCCGCCCGCCCGCCGTCCTGCCGGCCGGAGCCGCGGCGCCCAGAGCTGCGAGCCGCGCGCTCCTCCGCCGCCCCGGCCCGGGCCGCCATGTCGCTGTGGTGAGTGGGGCGCGGGGCCGTCGGGGGCCGGGGCGGGGGCGCGGGCCCGGGGCTCTCCCTCCTCCGCGGCTGCAGACGGGCGCCGGGACTCCCGGATGGGAGATGCCCCCGGGCGCGCCGCGCCGGCCTCAGTTTCCCGGGGGCGGACGGGCGGGCGCGGCGGCGGCTGCTGGAGATGTCCGCGGTGTGCGGCCCCGGACCCGTGCGGGGCGGCGGGGGGTCTCGGGGCGCCACGCTCAGCTCCAGAACCCCGGCGGCTGGGACCCCAGGTCTCGTCGGCAGCCGGGTCCCCTCGCCCTTCCAGGCTTTCGAGGGCCCCCTGCTCCCGGGCCACCCTCCTCCCTTCGGGGCTTCCTTCCGCGGGAGCTCCGCTGCCGCCCGCCCAGCCCCTCTCAGTCCCTCCCGGGCTTTCCCTACGGATGGGGCGGACCCGGCAGGTGGAGCGCCCGCAGCCCTGGGTCTCGCCGCCCTCTCGGTGCACCCCCGACCTCCCCCCTCCCAGCCTCGGTGGGCCGCTTCCCTCGAACCCCTTAGGGCTGGCAGAGCCGGATCCGAAGCCCTCTGCTCCCCTCCCCGGAAAGTTGGATCTTGGGTCACACCCCCAGCCCGCACCTAAGATTACCCTGTCTTCCTCCAACCACAGGCCCCAGCAACCTGGGCACCCTATGGGAAAAATGTCTCTCTGTGGGGCTCAGCCTGCATTCACCCTGGGTGCCCTCAGGCCACCCCAGGCGTCTCCATGGGCTCCCTGTCTCTCCCGCCACCCTGCTCCTCCCCCTTGGAGGTCAGCGCCATCTCTCTGCGAGGCTGGCCCTGGAAGGCCACTCTGCTGTCCCTGGAGCTCTCAGCCCCCAGGTCTTCACTGGGGAGGCTCGGACAGGCGTCCTGGCAGCCGCCGGAGGGTGAAATGAGGAGAGAGGTCCTTCAGGCCAGGGGCACAGGCCCCAGGGCTTGAGACCACCAGCACTCCTGGCAGACAGCTCTAATTTCTGCTTCTGAAATGGGTGTGGCAGGGGGGGTCTCTGGGCAAGGAGGTTCCCTCCAGGGCTAGGGCTGCAAAAGTGTCCCCTCGGGGTGGGAGGAACCCCAAAGGTGGAGAGGGGGACACGGGGGAGTGGGGAGAACAGAGAAGGGGAATAGAACTGGGGCCTCATGTGTTCTAATGGGGTGTTGTGAGCTGGGGAAGTTAAGGGGGGTGCGGGGCAGTGCCATGCTAGAGGTGCCCGCTGCATCCTGGGCCTCCCTCAACCATCAGGGCTGCTCTCTGTTGGGTCAGAAGGACTAGAGAGTGGGAGGAGGGCCAGTCTTCCTCAGGTCCCAAGCTCCAGTGTGCCCCACATGTGACTGAGCTCCAGGCGGCACAGAGGATCAGAGGGGTGCCCTCCCAATGACTCTGGCTCCGAGTCACCTGATGATACCGATGCCTACTGCTGTGGGGGTTGCACAGGGAAATGAAAGCCATTGGGGGCTGAGTGTGGTGGCTCATGCCTGTAATTCCAGCACTTTGGGAGGCCAAGGCGGGCGGATCACGAGGTCAAGAGATGGAGACCACCCTGGCTAACCCTGTCTCTACTAAAAATACAAAAAATTAGCTGGGTGTGGGGGTGCGTGCTTGTAGTTCCAGCTACTCAGAAGGCTGAGGCAGGATAATCACTCGAACCTGGGAGGCGGAGGTTGCAGTGAGCCGAGATTGCACCACCGCACTCCGGCCTGGCAGTATAGTGAGACTCTGTCTCATAAAGAAAAAAAAGAAAAAAAAGAAAGCTATTGGGGCTCCGGGGGTGGGGAACAGGGCAGAGGTCTCCACCCCAGCCTCTCCTGCTAAGGTGACAGCACTCCCCCAGCTGCACACCGGCTTCCTAGCACTTCATATAGCTCTCCAATCTGTGTTTTAGCCCCATTTGGGGAAGAAGAAGTCGTGGCGCAGAGCGGTTGTGAATCACTCATTTAGCTTGTAAGCGGCAGGGCCTGATTCCACAGTGCTCCTTGAGGAGAGGGCAGAGTGGGAGAGGCAGTGGGACCCTCCTCTGACCACTCGGTGGCTCCAGGACTGAGTCTGTGCCCAGGTCCACTTGCCCATCTGGGGCTACCCAGCCTCCCAAGGGGGGCACCAGAAGAGTCGTGGGCTCATGTTTTCTCAGTCCTCTGTACTGTCCACTCTCACCTACAGGAAGAAAACCATCTACCGGAGTCTGTGCCTGGCCCTGGCCCTGCTTGTGGCTGTGACCGTGTTCCAGCGCAGTCTCACCCCTGGTCAGTTTCTGCAGGAGCCTCCGCCACCCACCCTGGAGCCACAGAGGGCCCAGAAGCCAAACGGACCGCTGGTGAACTCCAACAACTTCTGGAAGAACCCGAAGGATGTGGCCACACCCATGACCGTGGCCTCTCAGGGGCCCCAGGCCTGGGACGTGACCACCACTAACTGCTCAGCCAACATCAACCTGACCCACCAAGCCTGGTTCCAGGGCCTGGAGCCGCAGTTCCGGCAGTTTCTCTTCTACCGCCACTGCCGCTACTTCCCCATGCTGCTGAACCACCCAGAGAAGTGCGGGGGCGATGTCTACCTGCTGGTGGTCATCAAGTCGGTCATCACACAGCACGACCGCCGGGAGGCCATCCGCCAGACTTGGGGCCGCGAACGGGAGTCAGCGGGTGGGGGCCGGGGCGCCGTGCGCACCCTCTTCCTGCTGGGCACGGCCTCCAAGCAGGATGAGCGCATGCACTACCAGCAGCTGCTGGCCTATGAGGACCGCCTCTACGGCGACATCCTGCAGTGGGACTTTCTCGACACCTTCTTCAACCTGACCCTCAAGGAGATCCACTTCCTCAAGTGGCTGGACATCTACTGCCCCCACGTCCCCTTCATCTTCAAAGGCGACGATGACGTCTTCGTCAACCCCACCAACCTGCTAGAATTTCTGGCTGACCGGCAGCCACAGGAAAACCTGTTCGTGGGTGATGTCATGCAGCACGCTCGGCCCATCCGCAGGAAGGACAACAAATACTACATCCCGGGGGCCCTGTACAGCAAGGCCAGCTACCCGCCATATGCAGGCGGCGGTGGCTTCCTCATGGCCGGCAGCCTGGCCCGGCGCCTGCACCACGCCTGTGACACCCTGGAGCTCTACCCCATCGACGACGTCTTCCTGGGCATGTGCCTGGAGGTGCTGGGCGTGCGGCCCACGGCCCACGAGGGCTTCAAGACTTTCGGCATCTCTCGGAACCGCAACAGCCGCATGAACAAGGAGCCGTGCTTCTTCCGTGCCATGCTGGTGGTCCACAAGCTGCTGCCCCCCGAGCTGCTGGCCATGTGGGGGCTGGTGCACAGCAACCTCACCTGCTCCCGCAAGCTCCAGGTGCTCTGACCCAGGCCGGGCCACCAGGACAGGCCAGGGCACATGCTCCTGAGCCCCCATCATATCAGGGCTGGAACAGTAGTGCCCGGGCCTAGCCCTTGGTCCCCAAGGGGAGGTGGAGGGTGGAGGCCTACGTGCCACTGGGTGTGCTGGGGTGCAGATAGCCAGAGAGGGACCTCCCTGTGTGGATAATTCCAGGAAACTAGGCCCAGGAACGGCTGGAGCTGCCCAGTCTGGAGGCCCTCTCCGAGAAGTGACCTGGTTCGTGGCTGGCCCCTCAAACCTGGTGGGAGGTCCTGGCGATCTCTGGAGGTACTGTGCTCAGGTACCTGGGCTAGGCTTGGCCTGATGAGTCTGTGGCCGCCCCTCATCTTCACAGGGAAGAGTCTTCTGTGAAATGCCTCAGTCTCCCCAGCGGCCAGGCGGGCCTGGCCGGAGAAACCTGACCCTGTACAGGCTCACAGGTGCCCCCAGTCCACGCGCTGGTCTCCCAGCAGGCTCTCCGCAGCCCCAGGCCTGCCTGCAGCCGGGCCGTCTCCCCTCTGGGGCCTCGGCTCCAGGGCCTCGGCTCCTGGCTGTGTCCTGTAACACCTAGAGGGGCAACCGCTCTGACTACCTCAGCGCCCCTCAGAACCTCCCACCCCACCCCAAAACAGGGCAGAAGAGCAGCACTCCTGGCCCCCTGAAACCCCAGTGCTGCCAACCCCAGCCGGAGGTGAGTCCCTCCCGCAGTCCCCACCCCCCCAGGCCTGGCTCCCTGGCTGGAAACCAGCCGCTTTGGCCCTGGAAGTGGACATTCCTCTATTACTGTGAAGTCTTATTTATGAAGAATGTGGAGGGAGAAGGCTCCAGGCTTCAGGAGGGGGTGGTGTCCTCCCTGGCCCCCCTCCTTCCCTTCCCTCATTCCAGCTGCCTGCCCCCAGCACCCCCAGGCCCCTCATAGCCCCCTCCAGAGCCCTGCCCCCCTGCATCCTGCTTCTGCAGGGCTTAGTGGACCAGCGGCTGCCCTGTGCAAGGTGGCTCAGCCGTGGAGTGGTGCAGAACATTGCCACCTCCTACCTCAGCAGGGGTCACCTAGGAAAGATGGAGGGATCGACTATTTTCTCAATAAAATGGGACTTTTTTTTTTTTTTTTCTGGTGTGAAACTGCATGTTCCCAGGTCCATCAGAGAGCCTGTCTGGGGCTGAGGTTGCCAGAGAGATTTCGGAAGACACAGTTTGTTCCTTGTTCTTGGCTGGGGGATACACAAGGACTTCTTGAAGGGATGTAGAGGGGGCTGAGTGCTGGGTTACAGTGGGGATGGGGGTGTGGCAACAGAAAGATGTGGGAGCTAGCAGTGCACCCGGCCCTCGCCTGTGCCCTGGTGGACAGCTGAGCTGTGGCTCAGGCGTGGACCAGTGCCTTCCTGTCCCTGACAAGGGTGAGGCCAGAGTTGGCCTGAGGCTAATGTTTTGGTGGGTGGGATTAGATCAGTGTGCTGAGGCTGGTGGGCTCCCTGAGGCACCTTCCAGTGAAAGCACTGAAGTGGCTTATGGCCCTGTGCCAGGGACCTTGGCCCCAGCTGCTGACCTCCAGGATGGGGAGGGAGCTGCCTCCCAGAAGAGTCACTCAGGCAGCAGTAGAGCAAGCCGGCGGCTCCCTGCCTGCACCCAGCTCAGGGGAATCCCAGAGGGGTCAGATGCCCCTGGAGGGAAAGGGGACAGCACTGCTCTTTCTCCCTCCCCAGCACGGGTCTTCCCACAGTTCCCTCTCAGCCAGCTGGCTGCATAATTTGCAGAGCCCAGTGCAAAATGAAATTACAGGACCCTGGTTCTAAAAAGGTATTAAGAATTTTCAAAAAATTTTTCAAGTGGCCGGGTGCGATGGCTCACATCTGTAATCCCAGCACTTTGGGAGGTACAAGCGGGTGGATCACAAGGTCAGGAGTTTGAGACCAGCCAGGCCAACATGGTGAAACCCCATCTCTACTAAAAATATAAAAATTAGCTGGACATGGTTGTGTGCGCCTGTAGTTCCAGGTACTCAGGAAGCTGAGGCAGGAGAATCACTTAAACCCAGGAGGTGGAGGTTGCAGTGAGCTGAGATTGCATCATTGTACTCCAGCCTGGATGACAAAGCGAAACTCCGTCTCAAAAAAAAGGAATTTTAAAGGCTGGGCTCACGCTTATAATCCCAACACTTTGGGAGGCTTAGGTGGGAGGATGGCTTGAGCCCAGGAATTTGGGACCAGCCTGGGCGACATAGTGAGACACTGTCTCTACAAAAAATTTTAAAATTGCCTCAGAGTGGTGGCACGCACCCGTCTGGGGCCAAGGTTGCCAAAGATTGCCTTGGGGGGCCTGAGGTGGGAGGATCCCTTGAACCCAGGAGGTCAAGGCTACAGTGAGCCATGATCACATCATGCACTCCAGCCTTGGTGACAGAGCTAGACACTATCTTAAAAAAAAAAAAAAAAAAAGAATTTAAGATTGCCATAGCAGAGCATTGAGCATTAAACCAAGTGCCCAGAGCTTCCGAGCAAGGCCTGCCACTGCGATGCCAGCCCTGTGTGTCCCTTCTCACCCTCAGAAACCAGGTCCTGCTCTGGACTGCAGAGAAGGGATTGGGGCTACAGTTTAGCCTGGGAGAGGGCAGCCCAGGGACACCCAGAAAACAGAGAAAACAGAGGCGTACAGGGTGGGGCCCCAGAGGCAGCTATGGGTTCAGCTGAGGACGAGGCAGAGCGCGCCATTTATACTGAGGGCTGCCGGGAGCGGGGTGGGTGCATTCTGAAGCAGAAAGGAGCTCCTCTTGGGGCTGGACCTAGGGGTGAAAGAAGGGGAGGAGGCTGGGACGCAGGCAGGGTGTGTTCTCAGGTCTTCTAGGTTCAGGAGTGGTTCACAGCAACCTGAGGGATCAAAGGGCAGTTTTGAGGTGTCCCTGCCACTCACTCTGGCCAACTCCTCCAGACACCCATGGACACAAGGGTCACTCTGGAAAATCAGGCATTTAGTCATGCTTCCTGGTAATGATAGCAACTGACATTTTTATGGAGCACATTTCATATACCCGGCACCCTGGTAAATAGTTAACATGTGTAGTCAATGACCTTAACTCAGGGTACAAATATGGTTACTTTTTAATTTTTCTCATTGATTGCCCAAATACCTCGTGTACCATTATTGGCAGAAAAAAAATCAATACCACACTCTTGGAACCCACTCTCAAATTGTCCAAGAACCTCAGGGGTTTCCCTCCTTCAAAGAGCGGGTTCTCTGGAAAGTCTGAGCAGTCGCCTGCAGTTGTTCCCACTCCCTCCACACAGTGGCGCTGTGGAACACCGGGCCTGCACGGTCCTGTGGCTTCTGAGGCTTGGCTACCTTCACTGCGCAGGCTGCAGGTGGGATCCATCCTTCCAAAACAAAGTTACCCTTCTTTCAGTCACCTTTACAAGCTGAACGATCTTTCCCCAAAGAGTAGCAGCATGCCAGGGGTGCTGGGTCCTGTGACTCCCAGTCAGCTACACAGTCTGGTGGGGGAACCGCACAGACTCACTCAGTTTCTCTCTGGCCTAGTGAAGCAACTTTTTAGACAGTAAATTTTAGTTAGTCCCGGGGTCTTAACTCTTTCCTCCTCAAAGGCCCTGGCTTTGCAAAATGGTTCCCTCCTCCCCAGCAACTAGCTCTGCATTCCAAGGGGCCTTGAAAAGGGGCAGCCTTTGTCAGGCCTCAAAAAGTCCAATTCTACTCTTCCCCCAGGGCAATGGGTGCCTACTCAGCCACATTTACATAACTAAAGGAGACCACTAAAAGAATCCTACCCTTAACAAAGAAAGCCTGTTCCTAGGTGACTTATTCTGTGCACCTAAACTGAGAAGGAACAGGGAAAGCTTCTGGAATCCTGTTATACACCATGTTCAAATTAAGAAATGGAGGGCCCTAAGAGAAAGATCCCACGGCTGTAGTGTGACAGGCACGATTTGAACTCTGTGCCCTGCACGCCTCACCCCCACACCCTACTGTCTCCCAAGAGCCTCCAGCCTCCCCTCTTTTCTTCTTAGCAGTAACTTAGTCGTAAATCTGTGTTTGTTGTTTCTGCCTAAAAGGAGGTAAATGTTATGTCCAATGAGTGATTGAAATTGTGGTGTTTGGGGAAGCCCAGTGTTATTAGGGCTGTAAGAAATAAATTTTTCCAGGTAGGTATTGAAGCTATTGTGAAGAAAAACTTTTCTGTTCCAATGAAACACATCATCTAACGCACAGCCGGACCTGTCTGCTTCCAGCCCCATTCATGGTCTTTGAGCTATTTTGCACCTCTTTTTAAGTTGCAGGTACTGAGGGCTTTGCAGACTGTTTTGTCAGGTGAAGCTTCCATTGCCTTCTCTTCCCCCCCACCCCGCACCCCCCACGGTGGAAAAACCAGTTTGCCTCCGTTTGCAATTCAATTCCTTTACTCCATATAAATTTGTGCTTTTTGATGTCTCCTTTGAACCAGTTATAACATCTGCCTTGTTCTTCTTATGCGTAAAATAAATCTTTAACACATGCTTGGTTTTTATTTCTGAACAAAGGTCACAAATTTACCTTTTTCTGAAAATTGTCTTTTACTAATTGCCTTTATGTAACTGAAAATGAACACAGATACATTATCAAACAGAATGCAATTTTTGCTTACATTTCTAAACAAAGCTTGAACCTTGGAATAAATTGTGTACTAACTGTAGGTCCTTCCTAAGAGCCAAAGCTTAGAGCTCAATCCTTTTAGAGCGTTTTGCCCACCCCCCACCCCGGGAATTCGAGAAAATATCTAGTCCAGATCGCAACCAGGCAGAATGAATCCGAACAAGTGAGTGGGTGGGGCATGAGCCCAGACACTTTTTATAGCTCCCAGGTGACTCGGACGAGCACCGAAGCTGGGAACTACCGGCCCGGGCCGGGATTGATGGACCGTGCCGCGCAGCCGGTGACCTATCACAAATCACCTTGGCTTTGTTTTCCGAGCTCAGGCCGAATCCCACAGGAATGCGCGGAATCCCTGCCCCCACCCCCGGCGAAGCTGTCCCCGTCGGGCTCCGCCTGCCCCCCCCCCACGCCCCACCGCTCCTCGTCACTGGGCAGCCGGGTGGGTGCGGGCTCCCGGGGCGCGATGAGCAGAGCCCCTCGCAAAAACTGCCTGGGCTGAGCAGGGGACAACCGCGCTCGGCCGTCGAGGGTGGAGCGAACCTGGTGTGTGTGGTGGGGGTAGCATCCGCTGTATTTTGGGGCCTGCGGAGGAAGTGGGGATCTCTGCGCCACGGGGTGCGCGCCTCAAGCGGCGGCAACTCCCCTCGGGACCGGCCGCGCGGCCGGGCGAGGCTTAGGGTACGAGGCGGCGCAGACCCCCTTGCCTGCTGCTGGGCCCGGGGCGGGGCGGGGCCCCACGAGGAGCAAGGGGCGGGCCGGGCGGGAGGGCTGGGTGAGTCCCAGCCCGGGCGATCCCAGGAAATGGCAGGGAGCGCCCCCAACTGCCCGCCGGGGGCGTCGTGACGCTGAGGTGGATGGGGCCGCAAGATTTGAGCAGGTTGTGTGAAATCTGGACCTCCACTACTTGTACCCCAAGGCATCTGTGTTATGCGGATTTATGCTGGAAAGCGCCATCCCACGCTGTCACCAGGAACTGCTTCCTGGCACCGAGGTTCCAGGGGCTGCTCGTTCCCTTCTCTGGCTCATCTGTGTAAAGAAAACGTTCCTCCAGGAGCCTTTCACCGAGCTCAGGCCTGAGGCTTAGGAGACCCGAAGGTGCGAGATCCCGACAGCCTCGGCAGCCTCGGAGGGATAAGGTGGCTTCCAGACCCCCAGGGCCACTTTGGGGGCCCCTACCAGGGAAGGAGAAATGGTCTTGTTTTACCGGCCCGGGAGGTGAGTGCAGCCCTGCAGATCATCAGAAATCACAGCTGTGGGCCCAGCCCACACACCTGTGAGGTCAGAACTGAGGCCTCGGAGAGCAGGATAGAGTTTGCTGTTCTATTGTTTAGTATCTGATCCTACAGACAAATGATACAATAATCAATTTTTCATAAAATCTTCATATAAAAGCCAACATTGATAAGGGTATGTTTGGTTTCGAGTGATGTGAGATTCGGCTCAGGTGGACACAGTGGCTCACACCTGTAATCCCAGCACTTTGAGCGCCCTAGGTGGGTGATCGCTTGAGCTCAGGAGTTTGAGACCAGCCTGGGCAACATGGTCAAACACTATCTCTACAAAAAAGTACAAAAATTAGCCAGACATGGTGACATGAGCACCAGCAGTCCCAGCCACTGAGGGTTGCAGGGCTCAAGGAGTTATGATGGGAGGATTGCTTGATCCTGGGAGGCTGAGGTTGCAGTGCCCATGCGCTCCGGCCTGGGGTGACAGAGTGAGACCTTGTCTCAAAAAAAGAAAAAAGAAATTCTGCTCCAGTTGGTTGCAACCAGCAAGGTGATTTGTGGGCTCACAGAAGTGGAAGTACAGGGATGCCTGCCTCAGGGCCTGATCCAGACAGAAACATAAAACAGCCACTCCCCACGCTGGAGCTGCCTAGCTGGCAAGGGTCAGGTTGACACTGCTTCAGGGTGGCCTGACTGCGAAAGCTGCATGTTAGCCACCACTCAGCGCACGTGCTAGGTAGGGTCTGGAGGATGGAGGCAAGTCTGGAAGCAGCTGCCCGTCCACCAAGGCTTCCTGCAATTTGCTAAGCGCTGGTGGGGAGGCCAGGTTCAGCTCAGATAGCTCCCGCAGACCTGGTCAAATGTTTCTTGCTAGATTTTGTTTTATGTACTTTTGTAACCAAGTGCCCACATTTTTTCTAAGAACAACAGAATGAGTTAGTTTTGT